CTATTTTGTTTGCTCAGGAAGCAGGACAGCAAGTCTTGGTAAAGCTCTTAGCACTTCGCGGACTGCACCTGACACTGAACTTGCACTTGAGAAACGCTCCCTCGGGCACTGTGCTGCTGAGCGCCTGTGCGTGCTGCGCTTGGGGGATGCAGAGCGTCGTGGTAGTCGTGCGGATTGGGCGAAATTCGCCCACTTTCTGTATTTTCTCAGATGGCCCCTCTGTTGGGAGATTGATGAGAATCTGTGGGTCAGGTAAGTAAGTAGTCCTACATGCTTACGTGATGATAAATGGTGGAAATCAATTTTCCATGGCCATTTTAGCTTTGCTTGGAAGAGGGAACTGTCAGAGACCGTCATCAGAAATTGTTTTGAGGCATCTGCAGGCTTTGGAGCTGCCCGAGTCAAGGGCATCAGCGGACCCGAGGTGAGTCCTGTGGGGAAGACCCAGGACAGCCCTGTGCACTTTTTTCCTTGCACACGGATCGCTTCTGTTTTCTTCAGAGACATCTGTAGTGTCCGTGAAACATAAGCAGGCTGAGTTTATACTTCCTGTTCGCCCCGCTGTGTTGTATGTGAGGCTTACCATAAGGCTTGCAGAATTAATAGGGATCCAGCCATCCCTCCCCTCACCTTGTCACGGTGGTTTTTGATTTTCGGTTGGTTTTCAAGTTGATAATGAAATTACTTCTTTTTTTTTTTTTTTACCCCCATAGGGTATATTTCCTGCTTCATATATTCATCTTAAAGAAGCCATAGTTGAAGGAAAAGGGTGAGTCTGGTCTTAATGTTTAAATGAAGAAACACGGTGATTGTATTTGGCTTTGCTGCTCATCCATATGGCAGGGCCTGTTAGGAGGTTGGATGTGGGTGTGAGTGACTGTGATGGGACAGGAGTTCTGGGCAGAGAAAGGGGGCTTGGGATGGAGACGTGTGGACAACATGGCTTTGGACCTTTGAAAAGTCTGAAGTCAGCACTGGGCCTGCAGCCATGCTCCTTCGACCCGATGCTGATTTTGGGTAGCACTAGTCCAGTGCTCTGTGCTTGTCTGCGAGTGATCCCGTTGGGTAGAGGCTCCAGCCCCCCAGCTCTGAGCCCGTTTTTCTGGAAAACTTTGAAGGCTATGACACAAATGGAGTTTATGGTGAAGCAGCAGTTGGTAAATTGGGATGTGTATGAATTTACATTTTGTCTAATTGTGATGTATGTTTCTTAGAGGTCATAAAACTGATGTATAAGATCATTAAAAGGACTATTATAGAACGAGAACCCATTAGGCAGGAATGGCAAATGATAGCCAGGTGTGAACTTGGAAGAAGGAGCATTAAAATGTTTTGCTTTTTAGTCTCTTCTACATCTTCACCCTCAGTTAAATATGTAAATTATAAAATTACTAATCATATGATTACTGCATAATGACATCTCTGGCTGATTACAAAATTGCCTTTCCAAGCACTGTACTTTTAACATATGAAAAGGACTAGCTTGGGTTCTGTAGTTGCATGATGCATAATTAAAATGAAGAAAATAATTTAGAGGCATAGATGGGGATGACCTGTAATACAGAATTTTTTAATACAGGTAAAATGTGTTGTGTGCAGAGTTTTAAAGGGAAGGAAAAAAGGAAAGTTTTGACTCTTGTTGTAGATATAATGGAATGAAGTATGCATTGAATGTATTTGACATCTGTCTGTATCGGAATCAATATAGAAGTCAGACTGATTAATTTTTATAAAGAAGCACTGTGAGTATACAAAAGAATATATGGAGAATGTAATTATGAAGCATAATAGTAAAGTGAACGAGAGATTATTTTGATTCCCAGTGAGTGGAATCACACCCACACAGACAGACACATTGGCTTCCGTTCCTGCGGCTCGTGGGAGATGCCCCAGGGTTAGCGAGTGATTGGCGCACCGGGGACAGAAGCAGTTAAGAAACGGTTTCTCTACCGTGCTTTGGGGCTCCCTGTGTTTGCTCCCCATGCTGCTCCTCTGGTCCTGCCTCCCTCCTGCTCTCCCACCCACGCCCAGCTGCCTTCTGTCTCCCTTCTTGCAAAGACCCTCCTGCCTTCAGGCTTGACAGGTGGTCTCAGCGCTCCTCCTTTCCTCCGGAGATCTGCGGACCTTGACCTCCCCACCCCACGGTCCTTCCCCCTTTCCAGGGCAGGTCGCTCTGTCATCCGACCCCACCTGCCTCCTTGCTCTCCAAGGTCCTTACCCCGTCTCTCTTGTAGGGTTTCCTGTTTCTGTACCCCCTTCACTCTTAGACATCCCGCATCATTGCTGTGTGCCGGCTGTCGCCGATTCTCTACCTTTGTCCCCATCCCCAAGGCAGTTCCCTTTTGTCCGCTCTCCCGTGCTCCTGTGGCTACCAGTGCGTCCTATTTCTGGGCTTCCAGTGTCTTCTCAGGGCTGCTCTTCTGGTGCTTTCCTGCAGTATTGGACGCTGGTGGCTGTCCCCTTCACTGGAGCCCCTTGTCTATTCTGATGCTTTCGTCCCATTTCTGTTGCTTCCTAGCCTGTTTCCCCCTGCCCACTACTCCCAGGGGGCTCTCCTTGCCCTTCTCCTAGCCCTGTGTTGCCCCTCCGTTTGACACGGCCCGTGTTGTTGTGTTTCCTCTCTGTGGGTGATGCTCGGATGGGGGCCTCCAGCCCTGACTGTCCTTGATGTCTAGCTGGATCATTTAGAGCCAGGTAACCAAGGAGCCACCGCCACTGGCTGAGCGTCTGCTGTGTCCTGCCCATTCTTCCATGCCCCGCGTGATGTTCTTTCCATAGGTCTTACCGACAACCCTGTGAGACAGCTGCTGTTGGCTTTGTACATTGCTGACCCTTGCAGGTAATGAGGTGATTACATAGATGATGATACAACAAAGCCAGATCAGGTACATTAGAGCCAGTTGGCGCGTTTGTTCCAGGGACAGATCAGGCCTACGAAGAGGGAGAAAGTGAGAAGGATGCAGAACCAAGACCAGGACCCAGCATGAGCAGTGAGGCCCTGTATAAGTGGTGGAAGCAGGGTTGTCAGGTTGAGCTCCGAGTTTCTGATAACCAGTGGAAGAGCCCAGTGGATTCAGCATGAAACTCAGGATTTGGAGGACGGAAACATCCCAGTTGTTGAGAGAGGAGTAATCCACCCCCCACCCCCCCAGAGGCTTTCTAAGGATGGCATTGCAGAGTGTAAGGAACCCCATTTTCATCAGCACCCTTACTGGGAACCTTGGTGACAGACTTGGCAGGACTGCTGTAACAACCATATTCTGTAATAGACACTGATGATGTCCCATCAGAGGGGAATTCCTAAAAACAGTTTTGTGGGGTGTGGTCCCATACGCACCCCTGCCTCAGACATCTGGTCCCTGCTGCTCCAGGTGGTGCATGTGGCCAGACCTGTCCACAGAGACTGGTCTTCTCAGGGACTCCACTGTTCCTTCCTTTGGGAGTCCCGACCATCAGCGGGTCCCTGCAGGCCTAAACCCCAATGTGAGCCCAAGTAAGAGTCCCGTCCACTGATCTAGGCTCCAGCCAGATCAAGATATGTGGGTGAGACCTATCTCAGAATCCCTGCACATTCCATGCTGGTTGGAGTCCGTCTGTTCGGCAATTCTGGGGCCAGGTGGCCCAATTTCACGAGCCTCCCTTCAGTCTCTTCCTCAGTCCCAAGTATTCTGAGTCCTTACTCACAGGGCCTGATGCAGAGCATGTGACTGGAAAACAATGGCTGATATGATTTAAAAAAAAACAAAAACACAAATAGATAGCAAGTTAAGAATAAGTCAGGGGTTGGGGCGCCTGGGTGGCTCAGTCGTTAAGCGTCTGCCTTCAGCTCAGGTCCTGATCCCGGGGTCCTGGGATCGAGCCCCGCATCGGGCTCCCTGCTCTGCGGGGAGCCTGCTTCTCCCTCTCCCACTCCCCCTGCTTATGTTCCCTCTGTCAAATAAATAAATGAAATCTTTAAAAAATAAAAAAAAATTTAGAATAAGTCAGGGGTTAACCTCTTTTGGGGTGCAGGGAAAAGGGAAAGGATAATCTGAGTGTTGGGATATCAGAGTACCTCCGGACATTTGAGAGAGCTGTTGCCTCATTCGTATTTCTCCAAGGAGAACTGCTTTATGCATTATCATATAATGAGTTTTATGCATGATGGAAACGTAAAAATCATCTTAACCCAAACCTGCATTTTAATGCCACACATATTGGTTATGATTGATGGCATCTATAAAATAGGTGGGTACACATATTATGAATGTACTCTCAGACCTTGGCGTTCTGAAGCCTTCTTAAAATTTTTTTTTTTTTTTT